CCATGAATATATTTCTTATGTTCTTTTTAAAAAATTTTAATTTAGACGAAAGTTATGATTGTGACAAAAAAAAAGATGAAAATTGTGATTTTAATGGAGAATTTTTTTTTTATTTTAGAGAGATTAATGTGATTTTGAACATTTTAGTTTGTTAGATTTATTAATCAGTAATCAAAAACAATTTATGGAAAAAGTGAAGATTTTATAAATAGAAAATTATGATAGGTTATTAAGTTTTAATTAGAAAGTTTCAAATTGTTGATATATTTCATAATTTTAGTTACTAATATCAATTTTTAATTGATTATATTTATTTTGATTTTTAAATAAATTTTCTCTTTCCTGATATAAAAAAAAAATCAATTTTTATTTTTGTAATTATCCAACCGCGACCGCAACCGCTCGAGGAAAGGAGCTTTTGGATTTCAGAGGTTTGGAGTGATACAAAGCGGTATAAGGCGTTTCCCATGATTGTTGTCAAACGCCAACAATCGCTACCGCCCGCAAACGTTGCGTTTGCGGTTGGTAGCGGGTGAACCAATCAACCGCACATGAACACTTGTTTACCTTCAGGCACTAACTCTTTCTAGCAACTGCTTCAGCTTATCCTTAACATCACATTTTCTTTGATTCTAAAATTACAAATGGCAACAAAGAAAAACCTATCAGTGTGCTAATCAAGTACACCAGTGTAAGATAGACTAAGAAAAAAAGAGACTTATTGTTTGTTCAAAATGGAAGAACCAAAGCACCTGTTCGTTCACTTTCGTACTCAATTCTCTTATGGGACGCCTTCAGATTTGTCACCATTTCCTGAGGCTTCCTCCAAAAGAAAGTTACTCTTTAACATTTAGCAGTACAGTTAGGGTCTACAAAATCGGCCCAAATACGATTCAACTTTGATCTCTCACATTTCAATGTTCAAGCGTTTCGGAAACGTTGTTGTGTTTTTCAAACGTTTAAAATATAATAAGCAGCTGAACCGAAACCAAACCAGATCAGAACAAACCGAATTGAAGAAGAGATTGTCAGTAATTTAAGCTTAGCCATAAGAACACTAAGAAGATTACAACAGTTTTCAGAATTCCTCAAGATCCCAATTTTTCGTCAGATCATACAACAACATTGTTTCAACATCTGAAAAAACACTATCTTGAGATCGAGATCATGGCTGA